CTGGAGTGTTTGGGTTGTCTGTTCATAAGATATACCAACTTGAGTGTTTGGGTAGTATTTCTATAAGATATACCACACTTGAGTGTTTGGGTAGTATTTCTATAAGATATTCCAACTTGAGTGTTTGGGTAGTATTTCTATAAGATATTCCAACTTGAGAGTTTGGGTTGTCTGTTCATAAGATATACCAAATTCAGTGTTTGGGTAGTATTTTTTATAAGATATTCCAACTTGAGTGTTTGGGTAGTATTTCTATAAGATATTCCAACTTGAGTGTTTGGGTAGTATTTCTATAAGATATGCCAACTTGAGTGTTTGGGTAGTATTTTTTATAAGATATTCCAACTTGAGTGTTTGGGTAGTATTTTTTATAAGATATTCCAACTTGAGTGTTTGGGTAGTATTTTTATTAGATATACCAACTTGAGTGTTTGGGTAGTATTTTTATAAGATATGCCAACTTGAGTGTTTGGGTTGTCTGTTCATAAAATATGCCAAACTGAGTGTTTGGGTAGTATTTCTATAAGATATGCCAACTTGAGTGTTTGGGTAGTCTTTTTATAAGATATTCCAACTTGAGTGTTTGGGTAGTCTTTTTATAAGATATTCCAACTTGAGTGTTTGGGTAGTCTTTTTATAAGATATTGCAACTTGAGTGTTTGGGTAGTCTTTTTATAAGATATACCAACTTCAGTGTTTGGGTAGTCTTTTTATAAGATATTCCAACTTGAGTGTTTGGGTAGTCTTTTTATAAGATATTCCAACTTGAGTGTTTGGGTAGTCTTTTTATAAGATATTCCAACTTGAGTGTTTGGGTAGTCTTTTTATAAGATATTCCAACTTGAGTGTTTGGGTAGTCTTTTTATAAGATATTCCAACTTGAGTGTTTGGGTAGTCTTTTTATAAGATATTCCAACTTGAGTGTTTGGGTAGTCTTTTTATAAGATATTCCAACTTGAGTGTTTGGGTAGTCTTTTTATAAGATATACCAACTTGAGTGTTTGGGTAGTCTTTTTATAAGATATGCCAACTTGAGTGTTTGGGTAGTATTTCTATAAGATATGCCAACTTGAGTGTTTGTGTAGTCTTTTTATAAGATATTCCAACTTGAGTGTTTGGGTAGTCTTTTTATAAGATATTCCAACTTGAGTGTTTGGGTAGTCTTTTTATAAGATATTCCAACTTGAGTGTTTGGGTAGTCTTTTTATAAGATATTCCAACTTGAGTGTTTGGGTTGTCTGTTCATAAGATATACCAACTTGAGTGTTTGGGTAGTATTTTTATAAGATATTCCAACTCGAGTGTTTGGGTAGTATTTTTATAAGATATGCCAACTTGAGTGTTTGGGTTGTCTGTTCATAAAATATGCCAACCTGAGTGTTTGGGTAGTATTTCTATAAGATATGCCAACTTGAGTGTTAGGGTAGTCTTTTTATAAGATATTCCAACTCGAGTGTTTGGGTTGTCTGTTCATAAAATATGCCAAACTGAGTGTTTGGGTTGTCTGTTCATAAGATATGCCAACTTGAGTGTTTGGGTAGTATTTTTATAAGATATACCAA